TCCTTGAAATGTAATTTCAAAATGCTACTCCTCCTACAGTTTTGGTCTGATTTTTGTATAACTTGGCACACAAGTAGACTAAACTAAGATCCATAATTCTCTGTACCAGTTTTGGATTTCGATGAACAGTGTTACCATGGTTACTAAATATAAAAATTTTCTTGATATAATTTCATAACGCTACTCCTCCTACATTTTTGCCTGATTTCAGTATAACTTGGCATACATGTAGACTACACTGAAATACATAATTGTCGTTATTGTTTTTTGTTAAATGATGTTGCCATGGTTACTTAAATTGAAATTTCTGAGACTAAACCAAGGATCGTTATTCTATTTATTGCTGTTGCAAAGTTTCAAGTCCAAGTGTTACTTTTTTTTTCCTTTATAAGTACAACAGTAGAGCTACAGACTCTTCAGAGACTTCTGGTTAAGGTCTCATCCGGAGGACCAGCAACTTTCACTTCAAGGTGCCGAGCGCTAGGTGAAGGAACAGTTGCATCCTTCGGATGAGACCCTGCAAAAACCGAGGCCCCGTGTCACGGTAGGCGTTGGCACGATAAAGATCCCTCACTGCCCTATGGCCCTGATTGCCGAGTAAAACCCTTCACTGGTACATGTATATAGTGACGTCTCTCAATGAGTGAAAAATTCTTGAACGGTACGTAAAACATACATTCAATCAATCAAACATATCGATATATAACTAGGCGAACATCACCTGTAATTATATTCTACAATCATAATCAACAAAGGTATATGTTCCAATAAAACGCTATATTCTTGAAAGCAATATATATATATCCCTCCTTGTTATGATATGTAAACAAAAAGTTCGTACTTTTTTTTTAATCGTCGTAGTGATCTTCGGACTTGTGGGCCTTCGGACTAGTGAGCCGTCGGACTAGTGGGTAGACCCCCATGGTTATACATGTATAAATGCATGTGGTTCTAATTTTCATTTTACACGAACTTTTAAACTAAATGAATATATGTACATGTACTTAATTGAAGAAAGACATGTATTAATCATGATATCACTCATATCAGTATATAAGATGTGTTCTAGTTGACGTTTAATTTCAAGGACAGTACTACGCAACAACGATTCATATCTCTCACACTTCAATTCATGTGTATTGACAGTGCTGTAAATTTTGATTTGTGGGATCACTTGGTGCATAAGTTATACAATGGTCTGCACAGATGTCTTTTTATTGAAGTATGTGTTTTAAGTACAACGTTGCTCTTCTACTAGTTGAACTGGGAAATATCGTTACCCAAGGTCATTCCGGTGAGGTAGAGGTCACTGACCAATAAAAAAAAAAATAAATTTCGTGTACGGATTAGAATTTCTTAACGGTGAAACATTGTAAGTTCATACCTATACTAGGGTTGAACCTGAAAGTGTGTTATGAACTTCAACTTAGGACACTTGATTCAATTTTAGGTCATTTTTACACAAGTGTACATTTCTTGTCCTGACCTTATCTTGCAGTGAAGAACATGAGACGCATACAATGTGTATCGAAATTGACCCGAATTCATATCAGCAAGTTCAATATCACTGGCAGAAAAGTGTTTTATTCGTGTCTGTGCTTCTACCTATGTAAGGAGAATCATTGGAATTTCAAACTTTTTACAAACATTTGAGATGAGATCGTATAAAGCGAGGCCCCGTGTCGCAGTAGGTGCTGGCAAGAAAAAAAGATCACTCACTGCTCAATGGCCCTGAGTGCCGAGTATAGGTCAGAATTTCCAACTTTACACCGGCAAGTGGTGGCATCTCCATATGAGTGAAAAATTCTCAAGAGGGACGTTAAACAAACAAACAAACATTTGAATGTGTCATGACCTTTACATTAGGTCATTACCGGAAATTCACGGTCACTGGCAGAAGTTTGAGATTCGGGTCCGGCCTGGAGAAGCATTAGAAGTTCTTACCTTACACAAAGGTTGCATAAAATTGAGGGTGTGTTATGATCTTATCCGATGTTATTACATCAAGTTCAAGGTCACTTGTGATAAGTGTACAATGCATGCCCTGACCAGGTCTTTCAATGATGAACATTAGAGGCTCATTCTTGTCGCAAATATTACATGTAACCTTAGGAAATGTATGACCCAAGGTAATTCCATTAAGTTAAAGGTCACTGGCAGAAAAATTATTTTATTTGTATTTGGTCTTAAACTTTAAATATGAGTCTTATCGGAACTTGCTACTTGACGCATAAATTGCGTATGACATGAATGGTCCTAATCTGACTTGAAGTCATTTTGGTCATACTCAGGTCATTTGCGAAGAATATGTCAAATTTGTGTTCCTTCTCCAATTTTCTAATGAAAAAAAAACATTAAAAGTTCAAACTTCATAACAATATTACCTCTTGAAGGGTGTTGTGATTGTGACCCAAGGTTATTTCGGCATGTTACAGGTCACTAGCAGAAAAGGAATAAAATGTGTTGAGGTAATTATTCTCTAATAGATAAGTATTGGAGGTTAAAACTTCTAACAGATATCTCATGAGCTAAAAGTATGTCATAATTTTGACCCAAGGTCATTGTGGAAAGTTCAAGGTCTTTGTACGAAGTGTAAAATTCATATCAAATCAATAATTTTTAGATGGAGAAACATTGAAGGCCCCTTACTCATTCACGGAATACTCATAACCACAGGTGTCTTATTTTCTTAATGTAATGTAATGTCGTTTTGGGAAGTTAAAAGTCACATTTGGAACATTGTATACAATGTATGGGCGCTTAAAACGCAGCAGGGATATAATATTGTATGCTATCTCAAAGTGCATTTAGTTTAATGTAAAATGACCCAGATCATTATCCCAAAGCTGTTTACTGTTATGTAAATTTGGTATTTCATCCGCATTGATTTCCAATATACGGATTACAAATTTACCTTATGAAATAACGCTCCTTTTAATTTTTTGGGCCCGGAGGGGGGGGGGATTGAAAATGATTCAATATGAGGTTTCAAAGATATCGATATATTTGGATTATCTTTAAGTTATTAAACATTTTGGCAAAACAGAGGATAACGTACCAATCAACAAGATTTGTGTGAAACACATGATGCTCCGAAATTGCAGCTCATGACGAAGATAGTTTCTCAAATGCAAGTCAAGTTCCAAGATCATGAAATAAAAAATATTGGTTTCCAAAGAAAGGTCTTGTCAAAAGGAATACACCTGTAAAATATGACAGCCCTAGAACCAACCGTTGAAAAGTTATTGTCAGTGTTACAGATTTTCAAACGTATGTCAAACTTAAAGGTCAAGGATTAAAGGATAAAATCGCTGGAACCCTAGCGAAGGTCTTGTCACAAGGAATACATATTATGAAAGCACCGACAGCTAAAGATATGACCAAGGTTTGTTTTCAAAAATAGGCCATACTCGAAGGTCAAGGTGAAAGGGTCAAAATTGTTGCTACCCAAAGGAAGTCCTTTGGAGAAATCCGAGTTGAATACAACTCGTACAAAACATGTAACTTGACAAATTGACATATCAGTTCATGAAACGGTCACGGCAGCCTAGTGGAAGGGCGTTCGCTTCGTGATCGGGAGGCCCAGGTTCGATTCCCTCTTGCCACGGTGCGTCACACCTTACAAGTAAACAAAGGTAGTGACTGTTCCTTCGTCAGGTGCCCGGGGATAAGAAGTGAAAGTCAATTGTTTTGGGGGTTTCTTTGGATGAAACCTTAAAATTCGAGGTCTCTGAATGCGTTGGCGCGATAAAAAACCATCGATCAATGTTCAATGGCCCTGAGTGCCGAGTATAGGATTAAATTTCAAGCCGTTCGACGGCATTCGGTGACGTCTCTATATAAGTGGAAAATTATAGAATGGGAACTGTCGTTAAACAACACAAAATCAATCAGTTTGTATTTACGATGAAATGTTATTTTTATAAGATACTACCCTTTCTGTTATACAAATATAATCCGATTCAATTAAAATGAGGTACACGACTCCTTATTAGAATCGCGAATTCAATTTTACCATTAACTACAGAGAGGACTAACTTAGATATAGTATGGTATCTGTTTTAAGGTACTCATTGTGAAATGAAGGGATATTGAACACTTTTGAATGATTTTAAACTAGTTAACTATGTATTGCCTGATAACGATGATAGTGAAATGAACAAAATTCATGACTGATAACATATATGTAAGAAGCCATCTGCCCTTGATGAAAAGATTTTAATTTTGTCAAAATATCTGTGGTAAATGATTCACTTTTACTCCATATTGAATAAAGAGAGAGTTTATGCATATTTTCACCAAGAGATTTAGTTGAAGTTTAAATTACTTTTTACTTTATCTTAAAAAACACATGCGCTACCCATAGACTTCAATGTAAAATTCAAGGTGCAATTAATTGGACAATGATCAAAATTTTGTAAATTCCTTTGGTGGAGTATTTTTATTTGGTAACACCTTCCAGATGCTACTTAAGATTTAAAATATTGGACCATTCATTTATAAGGTACAAAATACGGTCGTTATACATTGACTACCTTAACAGTAAGGGAAAAAAAGATTTCATCAAGATAGCAATGTTTTTAAAACAATTGATCATGATGAAAACAGCGACGAACCAATCAATTCAACCGGTACTTTATACATGCACAGCGGTAAAGTAACCCAAATTTAAAAAACAAAACTCACATTAATGTTACAAAAAAAATGAAGTCAAATAATTGTTGTTTAAAACCTCTCAAATGGATCATTTTCCGTCAGCAGAGGTATATTTCTTTATAGGAATCCTTCCATTTTTATGGCAAATAAGTTAAACTATGATGAATTACTGGACGTAAGCGATTTGTCCCTATTGTTCTTTAACTCTATTCTGTCACATTTTTTAACATAGCAGGTGCGCTTTATTGAATGACAGATGAGAACATGTACGCGTGGGAAAATGAGACAGACATTGTAATTCTTTTGTATTCTCTTGCGACAGAGAAAAGGAATTTTTGGGGGAAAAATATTTTTTTCCGAGTGCAAACATGAGCGGCACGTTTTTAATCCAGGTTTAAGTTTTGAAACCAAATGGCTTATTCGTATGACTTTTTGCTACACTTGTCTTTCGTGATAACATTTTCACAAGGTAAGATTTTAGATACTTAAGACAACTGTGCCTTGGAATTTCTTAGAAAAAAATTAATCCATTCGTCGCGTATTTAAATAACTGATTGTTTGTAATTTCAGCGCTTTTAATATTTGAGAAATGCACCAGGCACTCACAGTGTCCTTCAAACGCTAGATGTCGCCCTAATGGATGTGAGGGATATATGTGTCGTTGCGTTTCACAATTTGTTTATAGTGACGATAGATCCCAATGTGTTCCAGGTAAGAATCGGAATTAAAATGCATTGAGGAATCTTCTTTGCTACAAGTAGTAGTTTTCCACATCAGTTTAATTTCTGCAATTGTGTCCAATATATCTTGAATTAAATAATCAGATAAACACGCATTCTGTCTATGATTTGAAAGGAAAATAATATACACCTGATGATTTATTAAAAATCAGATGACCCCGCTGTCGAACTATAGGAAAATACTATACACATGCGAAAAAAAAACCATATACCTTATGAAATGGTATAAATTCTCAGAATTGGAGAATTCTCTTCATCTGTCTTTTAACTTGAAATCTGTTAAAGCGGTCACATATTTTGATGTTAGATTATTGATGTTTAGGTTTTTAATTTTCTGATTATTTTAATGTCATTTACGGGGTCAGACTTGAAACTTTTCCTATCTTTTCCTCATTTCAGGCCATCATCGAAAACATTTATCCACAGACACGTTCCAAACAAATAATGACAATTAATCAATCCAAGGAAAATAATATATTTTAGCAGCTTATTTTTTTTTAAGTAAACTACTTACAGACAACATGGTAGCGCGTAGGATTGTACACGATAAAAACATGACTTTCCAATAAAACAGGCAACAGTTACCTATGTAATTCGGATATTTCACAGGTAAACTTATGGGAGAGGTTTGCGATGGAAATCTCAACAAATGTCTCTCCCCATTTGCTGTATGCATGGATGATGTGTGCCAGTGCAATGAGTTAATGGAACCAACTTCTGACGGCCATTGCAAGTCCCCGTATGAAGCCGAACTTCATCATTCTTGTGTAGATAAGATTTGTGTTCTGTCAACGGTATGTGATGGTGAAGTCTGTGTGTGTCCAGAGGACAAACGGGAGATAACCACGGAAGAATACTGGTTAGACCCACTAAAGGCTAGAAAATGTGTTGATAAAGAATACTCTGTAGGTATGCTCCCCTTATCTTTTATAAATATACATCATAAACTGAGTTTTCCTGATACGGGTTTGTTCATCATGTTTCCTTCTTTTCACATTATACACATCCTACAAAAACGAAATCCAGATAATTTAATTTAATAAATTAAATGGACAGATCGGGGTTTTTTTCTTGATACATTATCATAAACTATATACAATGTTGATGAAGTGTGAATTTACACAATGGGTTGTCGTCTTTTTTTCTGTTTACAAACAGATATATATACTCAGTGTACTTAATGAAAAACAAATTGGTACAATGCATTTAAGTAATTTTGATTTCATTTAGACCACTGCCACGGTCAACAAATTCAGATACCTCAGGGTTTGTTGGAAGAAGAAAATAGCACAACACCAAGTAATAAAAGTATTAAACTAAAGGTGGACATGGTGCAAACAAATGATGTTAGTTCGGAAAACATACCTTTGAACAAGGAACAAATACAGGAACCTGTCCTTTCTGAATATGTGGATGGTGGAGAAGAAACCCAACGAAAATTAATCCAAGAGGACGAGCCTGGTACAAATGATGTCAGAGCTCCAATACTGTCAGTCAATCCCGATAAAAAGGATATGTCAGCAGCAGTTGATAAGATAAAGGAGAGAAATGTCATCAAGGGTCAATCAGATACCAATGTTTTGGTGGATTCAAGCGAAATGATACCTAAACTCCAAGTAAACGAACAATACTCGAATAAATCGGAAGACAGAAGTCCTGAAACGTTTCCATCTTCGGACAATATTTCAAGTACTGAAGTTGAAAACTTTTTAAAATTCAAGACTCATCCTAAAAACAATAAAACGCATGTAGAAGACATAGATAAGCTACCATCTGACATCACTGAAGATTTCCCTACAAACGCACTTTCCGAAGAGAAATTTACTTCTGAAGACGGTTTAAATAAGTCTTCAAACAATCAAAATGTTACCATAAACATCCGAAATTCTTCGACTTCTTTTGAGGAGAGAAGTAGTTATCTGAAAAATGATAAATTTAGGGAAATTACGGCGGGGAATAAAAATTTACACGATCAAGACAATTTCATCAATAAAAAATTGGTGTCTTTCATAAAAATAAACAAGGACGATGACAGGCAACTAAACCAATTGGTTAAGCGTTTGATTGACACGTTATTGGAAAGGAATAAGAAAGTTAACATATATCATGGATGCAGCGTGGATGAACAGTGTCCAGAGCATGCGCAATGTAAAGGAAGAGGATGTACCTCACAGAAACAATGTTTGTGTAGAGAAGGATTCATGACGAATATTAACGGAACTAACTGTGTTCCAGGTACATATATTGCGCATTTTCTAACTTAAATATGCCATTTCCCTTAAGTATTAATATTTATATTATATACTTGAGCTCAAAGGTTTAGACAATTCCACAGAACGATTAGACATGATATTTAGCGACTGTTCAAACATTCTTCATCTCTTTACTGTCTCTTGATTTAACACAAAACTGAATTGTGTCTAGTTCAAGGAAAAAATCATAGGCTCATTATAAAGATATTAGATGCATATTATAACCTCCTCTCAATACTATAGACCGATGACCAAGAAAGAGTCCCCTTTTATCAGAAAGACACAATACAGACGGTATGAAAATCATAAAAATCCGTTTAAGATCCATTGCTAATTGCGGGTACTTCACCGTAAAACTTTCAATTGATTTCCACCTGAAAGAGTAAAATGGTCCATAACCATGCTGGGTTCGTATACACAAACATTCAAAAGGCCTTAAACATTTACTATAAACTAGAACTAACGTACCTGGCAGATCGAGATTTTTCTTTGTGTATGAGCAGTGCCTTTCCCATACTGAACGCAAGTTGTGTGATTTCACCACGCCTCTCTTTTCTTTAAATTCATTACAACCGCACGAAACTTGGAACGCACGACATCCTTTTTCCTTCGCCAAGCGACTTAGAGACATTCATTGTTCATTCAGTGAGGTGTCCATTTTTTCTCCGTTCAGTCCATTGTCTTCTTTAGCCAATATGCACCTCTTTTGTTTTTCGTGGGCAGCAGATAATAATATAAATTGATAAATAATGACATATCTATCGTCTGGCGCGTCAAACTTGTTCTCGAGACTCTCCCTCGTAATCAGAACACTTTTACATTTTACAAAGCTTGAAATCACTACTTCTCTTGCTATCTGTTGATTTCAAATACTAAGACAAATACTTAGTAAGAGGCTGTTTTGGTTCACTGTGTGTTTAAAACGGCCTGGGCAAATCGGCAGATTATAGAAAGGAGTCGTTTAATCTTTCACTTTCCAATTGACCTGGTGCTGAGTAAAGTCAACATCGACATATGGTGACGTCTTGTAAAAATGATCTTGCGAAGTTCGTAAATCGCAAATCAATTAATATTAAGCCAAATTACTTCTTCAAATCTAGTACATTCTGCTTTGGGCCCAAATGCCAAATAAATAAAATAATTCAAACAATTACTGCAATGCCAAAGGAAATTTCACCAGCACAAAAGTGACCGAGTAAATGTGTTCTTCAATTTTTTTTTTCTCATTATCTCTTTCCAGACGGTTCTCGCCCCTGTGTCATAAATGAGTTTCAGTGTGCCAGCTCTAGATGTGTGCCCTACTCTTGGGTATGTGACGGTGTCACCGACTGTCCCCAAAATGAAGACGAGACCAAGCTATGTGGGTATTGCGATTTAATTTTCTAATAGAAATCTACATCACAATTAATTAGCACTTTTGACTGTTCATAACTTCAAAAAAGAAGGGGAAAAAGACAAATGGTTTAAATCAAAATCTAAACATATATACATTTAATATGTAAGGATATTTAAGAATGCTGGGCTAACTTTAAAATGTTTGTTTACCCTCTCCCGACTCATGATGGACAAAAATGGGTCGGGTAGGTAAGTAGGAATTTTAATATCGATGCTGAATTTCAAAATCTGTTGAAACTGAAGGTAATAATACACTAAAAGTAGTTGCTGAAGAGTTGGGAAAATTCAGGAATGAATTAAAAAAAAAATCATCGTTAACATTCCTGCAGGTTTAAAAAAGTTTTGAGTCGGGCCATTTAAGCCAGTCGATCGGGAGAGGGCAAACAGTTCTTTTAAAGGTGGCCTTGATTAATTATTTTTTAAATTTTGTGGCTTAAGGTTCTACTTCACATAAAATGGATATCTCGCCAAGAGAACATCAAGAGGAGATTAGGCGCCTGGAAGATAAACTCTCACATGAAACCTTGATGCGCATGCACTTGGAGCGAAGTATACAGGAGTTAAGAGATGTTGTAAAAGAAATAAAGGAAAATGAAAAGGATATTACACACATGTAGGTAATCTACATCATTTTCATATATTCAATTCCTTATCCAATTTCTTGTGTTTTTTAAGCGTCTGTACTTCATATTAAGAGTATATGGCAAAAGAATATTGCCCAAAGGAACTTAACTCTTGTCAACGAGGCAAGGAGTTGACTCTTACTTCGCCTGTTCGGATCCCATTAATGTAGGACACTGTGACAAATCCTTCTGATGAGATTGTATAAATGAAGACCCTACGTTGAAATCCATACTGAGACTAAAAGATCCCTAGTTGTTCAATTGTCATAAATGTTCAGTACTTAAGGAAATGTTACAGTCTTAAACCCGCGTTGTATGGCGTCGGGACATGAAGGGACGTTTAGCTGACAACCAACCAAAAAATGTTCCAATGTTTAAATACAGTCGTCCAATCACGTCGAAAAATGAATAAAATATAGCAGATTCTACAACAAAAGGCGGAGCAGTTTCCTCTGTAATTCACAGATATTCTACATATCTCTCAGGCGTGTCTTTTTGGAGAGCTTAATAATATAAGTATTTCACCTTCATTGTAGCGAAAAGGAGACAATACAAACTCGTCAAAGGAGGCAAAATCCAATAACAGCGCCTACACAATCTGCAATGGATGAAGGAGATCGACAAATCTCGACATGGAGTGATCCCTTTTACGATGGTTTTATAGATGACATTCAGAACAAATTAAAAGGATCTGGTAAGTAGCATAGATATTTCATACAAGTTATTTTACTCAATATGAACTCAATCCTCAATGTATATGTATTGGATACTCGTATGAATATTTACTTAATAACTTTTTTTTATTTTAAAAATAGCAGTTTATTCACTTTGGGGAGGAAAGGTGTGTCCAAAACATGAAAACACAAGGACCATATACACAGGTCAGTATAATTATTATGGAGTCATGTAATGAAAATTATGAATTCAAACATCATGGAACTTGTGTTTTAGTATACTTTTTTTTAAAAAGAGGCTAAAGATTTAAATAGTTTGGATCCAGTTTATCTTTTGACTACTTATCGTAACAATTTTTCTCTTCCATAGGCTTTATGAGTTCAAGCAACATTAAGTCGGAGAGAGGAGATCCGGGTGATTTCCTTTGTCTCCCCCAAGTGCCAGAATATGACTCCTCATCGTCTGTAAGGAAGGTTTTCAATGAACATAAAAGCGTCGTCTCTGGTTTCACTTACCACTTAAGTTGTGCAGTTTGTCAGGTACAGCTCGTGTCTTCCGTCCTCATGATTCCGGCCAAAGTGACCTGTCCGGCAGATTGGAGGTTGGAATATGTGGGCGTCTTGGTCACTGCTGGTGACAAGAAAGGAGGAAGCAGTGCGCGCCATATTTGTATAGAAAAGAACGCTTTATATGAAGGTGGAATTGAAGACAGCAGGGATAAGGGTCCATACTTGTATCCTGTTGCTGTAGAGTGTGGAAGAATCCCTTGTCCCCCATACAAAAAGAATGACAGTTTGTCCTGTGTGGTGTGCTCGTTTTGAAAAAATAAACTTTTCTGTTTACTAAAATAAATGCATATTTATATATATTTTTAAAGTAATGTATTACCGTAGCAAGACTTGTAACTCTTTTTTAGTGTCTTTTATGCCAGAATATCTTTGTCTGCAATTTAGATTTTACGTATTGAAACGATAGGACAGACCATATCCCAGGCTTTATGCAGAATATTGCAGAAGTTGATCATCAAAAATATCAATCCTTCCAACGTTAAAAGCTCCTACTATCTGAAATAATTGGTCCTCGATACGTGTACGTAATCCCGAGCAGCTTCTCAAAAGTTCTTTTTGGAGCATGTTCCTGCCTATGCTGCTCAGGGACATTCGATTGGGTTTCCATTCTTGACATTGTTTTTACGCATTGAACATTGTTATTGGTCATACAGTAGTTGTAACCTCTCCAACTTAATTCAAAATTTAAAAAAAATGATGTTTAAGATATTGAATAGCGACCATAGAAATATCGTTAATCTCTTTGCATTGCAACAGTACAATTTATAATTTCACAAAATGTCTTCGTAATGAAAACATGCCCAAAAAATGGCATGCTCTGTGAAACATATTTAACCGTAATGATACAGCTATAAATCATTTAAAGATAATTGGAAAGCTTCAAATCTTCAAGGTGAAGACAGCGAACAATGATCGATCTCATAATAATATACAAACGATACACATTAATGAACAAGGTATAAAAGGGGGACCCCTGGAAATTCTAGAGGTGGAATTAGGTGCCTAGAGGAAGTATGCATCTCTTACTGTCCGGTCACACCCGCTGTCATCCTTATGTATTGATCAGGTAGACAGAACATCAGGGGCCTAGGATGATAGTGTGTCACAATAGAATTTGTCCGTGCACTTTTCTAACAACACTCATGTTTTATTCTTTGCGTCTACGTTTTGAAACGTTACATTTCATTCAAAAATGTGTGTTTAATTTGTTCACTGAAGCAATAAAGATATACACATTATATAGTTGAATAACTATATAAAATGATGAAAAAGACAGAGATGGAATTAATATTGAGATAAATTCACCGAGTTCTATATTTAAAGAGGCTATATTTCTGGAGCATACGAAGTGTTGAGAAAAAACGTTTTTACATATTTTTTATTTCAAATATATTGCATGACTCCAAATTATCAGAAATGTTTTTATACATATATATTAAAAGGAGATATTGCAAGTGTTTAACACTTTATAAATTTCATAATAATTAGACAGAAATGTTAATGTAAACAATTTCATGGAAAAACAATATTGCCTGTTAATGCAGAGTAAATATTATACAAGTGATCTCCCTTTCCTTATTATGCTGGTGTACTTTTGTAATACGGCGTGGTTCTAATACGCGATTCCGAGATACGTTTCCGACCCGATTTTTAAATCACGCAAATGTGAAATGTAGGGCATGTTTACTTCCGTTTTCATCGTAAACGATGGCGTCATTAGATACAGACTGCGATTACGACTATAATTTCAATTCTTCAAGTTTCTATGCTGAAAGACTTTTTATCCCGTAAAGGTATAGCTTTTTCAATATATTTAAAACATCATTTGATAAGGCTTTGTGAACTGGCAGTTGAAATTCAGAAGTGGCAGATGATTGCGGGGTGGTGATGTCAAACTGTTGGAGATAAAGTTTTCTAAAATATAACAAGTGTTGATAGGTGGTCTGAAGATCTCATAAAATTGCCGAACATTGAGATTTCCGATGTTTTCATAAAACTTTTGAACGATGGCTTGAGTACGTCATTCTCGGTTGAAAGCATAGAAAGAGACAAGACAATGGATACAGACTACAACAACCACGTTGATAAAGTGAAAGTGCCCCCCTGTCTGATTATTTTCAGTACATCAAGTGTGACACAGTTCCTGAGACTAGCCAGAATGCAGATCCGTACAAGACCTGGATATTTGTTAAGGGCATTATATAGACAGATTCACTCAGGTTGATGTAGTGTAAATATTCTGGTTTTCATAATATGACTACAGATTCTCCAGTAGGATTTAAAGCAATAATTATCAACAATGTTACTTCATAAAGATATACTAATGTTCATAAAAAAACATACACAGAGGGAGCCTTGTCTCAGCCTACAAGCATTTATGATTATGTAAATTGCTCAATACACTTAATTCATGTCATGAAATTTCATATTCAATACTTCATCACTTTGAACAAAAATTCTCTTGATTTTGGAGATGATGGGTCGTGTAAGCACTGTACGGCTTCGATATTTACTGTGGCTTCATTCTGTGAGAGGCACAAAGACTGTCACACTCAAGTAGGAACAGATATTTCGTGTGTTTGGGACAATTTTTTAAGCCTCATGTCATCTCATTCTGTATTGGCCAATGACATAAAACTACAGGACTATACAGGAGAAGAACCTGAAGTTAGCGCTCACCATTCAATAAACAACCCATGCAAGTCCTTAAACAACAACTCTATTAGAGAAATTGAAGAAAAAAATTGTTTCAGCTCCTGTGTTTTTACACAAAATGTGGATTTTTCTGTGAGCAAATACGTTATGATCCTTATGAAAGAGCTAAATCCACGAAGGGGCTAAATCGGCCCAGTCATCAAAATAAATGAAACTTTCTCACATAAAACTCTAAGATTTGTATGTTGTAAAACAATTTACTTTTTAACAATATCTCTTCTGGTTTTCTTTTTACATTCGTTTAAGTTTGGTATTGTTTTCTTTATAAATAGTATCACGTCATAAAGCTGACGTTACATACTTTAACGTCGTGACGTTGACATTTTGTATAAGAAAGTAACATCTGTACGTTAATGGAATAAAAATAACCAATATAGGCTCTTCTTTAAAATTTTGGGAAAATTTAAACTATGAATTTTTCAAGAAGTTCTGAAAACTTTTGGTTTATTTTTTGATTAAAGCTATTTGTACTCTAAAGAAATGCCAAATATTCGTTATATACAGCGTTTGTCTGGTATAATCGTTGATACATGTAACACGTTTTAAATGATAATAAGAGATACGTTAAGTTGAAAACAAACACAAGTGTTAATCCATCATATTTGAGTAAAACTGAATTAATGTAGTAATATATATACTATAGTAGACATGGATAAGGATTTTATCATTCTTAAATGTGTTATTGTATGGTCATACGGGGTACAAACAAAAAATAGACTTTTTTTTCAGAAAATACACAAGTACTCTTCAATAACGAAAACATAAAATTAAAATGAAAAGGTCCATTAAAAATGAATACGTTTGAAGTTACCATGTATTTTATTGTCATTTTGAGAATTTCGTTGCACTTCCGAAATTTATTACATTTCCCGGACATTTGAAATGAAATTGTCGTTCATACATGTAATACACGTAAAATAGTGACGTTTGACGGCAATCCTGCGCACCACAGATTATTAGGAAAGAAGCCACTACAGACTTTTAAACAAGAGTGATGCAAAGCATTAAATCGGTCGCAAAAAAATGAAGAGTCCAACGAAAACACAAGATTTTCAAAGAATTTGAATTTCAAAACGGAACCTGAAGTTAAAAAAAAAAAAAAAAACAAGATAAACGGAAATGACATGTATACCACTTTACTCAATATAAATTACTTAATCGAAATAAAGTTCACTAATTATGATAAATATGTTATATCATCAAAGAGAAACGTTTTTAGCTCACCTGAGCTGAAAGCTCAAGTGAGCTTTTCTGATCACATTTTGTCCGGCGTCCGTCTGTCTGTCTGTCTGTAAACTTTTCACATTTTCGACTTCTTCTCAAGAACCACTGGGCCAAATTCAACCAAACTTGCCACAAAGTATCCTTGGGTAAAGGGGATTCAAGTTTGTTCAAATGAAGGGCCACGCCCTCTTTTAAGGGGAGATAATTAGGAATTACTGAAAAAATAATGGCATCATTTAAAAATCTTCTCAAGAACCATAGGGCCAGGAAAGATGAAACTCATGTGGAAGCATCCTTAGGTAGTGTACATTCAAGTTTGTTCAAATCATGACCCCCGCGGGTAGGGCGGGGCTGCAATGGAGGATCAAAGTTTTACATAGAAATATATAGGAAAAATCTTTAAAAATCTTCTTCTTAAGAACAGCAAAGCCATGATGAGTCATATTTATATGGAAGCATCCTCAGGTAGTGTAGATTCAAGTTTGTTCAAATCATGACCCCCGGGGGTAAGGGTGGGGCCACAATGGAGGATCAAAGTTTTACATAGAAATATATTGGAAAAATCTTTAAAAATCTTCTTCTCAAGAACAGCAAAGCCATGATGAGTTATATTTATATGGAAGCATCCTGAGGTAGTGTAGATTCAAATTTTTCAAATCATGACCCCTGGGGGTAGGGCGGGGCTGCAATCGAGGATCAAAGTTTTACATAGAAATATATAGGAAAAATCTTTAAAAATCTTCTTCTCAAGAACAGCAAAGCCATGATTGGTCATATTTATATGGAAGCATCCTCAGGTAGTATAGATTCAAGTTTGTCCAAATCATGACCCCCGGGGTTAGGGCGGGGCCGCAATGGAGGATCAAAGTTTTACATAGAAATATATAGGAAAAATCTTTAAAAATCTTCTTCTCAAGAACAGCAAAGCCATGATGAGTCATATTTATATGGAAGCAATCTCAGGTAGTATGTAGATTCAAATTTGTTCAAACCATGTCCCCCGGGGGTAGGGCGGGGCTGCAATGGAGGATCAAAATTTTACATAGAAATGTATAGGAAAAATCTTTAAAAATCTTCTTCTCAAGAACAGCAAAGCCATGATTGGTCATATTTATATGGAAGCATCCTCAGGTAGTATAGATTCAATTTTGTTCAAATCATGACCCCCGGGGGTAGGGCGGGGCCACAATGGAGGATCAAAGTTTTACATAGATATATATAGGAAAAATCTTTAAAAATCTTCTTCTCAAGAACAGCAAAGCCATGATGAGTCATATTTATATGGAAGCAATCTCAGGTAGTGTAGATTCAAATTTGTTCAAACCATGTTCCCCGGGGGTAGGGCGGGGCTGCAATGGAGGATCAAAATTTTACATAGAAATATATAGGAAAAATCT